AGTCCTTCAATACAGAAATTTTAAGGACTACTCTCACGATGTCACCATTTATTTAGCATGGTAAAGACTGTTATATTTATCCGTTGCCTTCCGTCCCACTGGATTTTTGCTCATGACTTCTCAGGCTGCAGATACAGACGAAATCCTAGGGAAAAATGTCTCCTGAGTTGGTTTCGGACAACAAATTGCATCTCGTTGCTGCTGCCTGGGATGTGTTAAACATACTGCTCACACTCTGCATGGCACACGTACAGCAGTTTTGGTCCAGGAAATACCAGACAGAAATGTGAGAGTCATTACTTCTTGAGATTCAAATGTTGGCAGGTAGGTCCATGGGAATTTGCTGGAAGTGGCTGTTTTTGTATAAGTAAAGCAAAAACGCCGTTCCTGCTGCACATCACCCACAACCAGGGTATTTCTTCCCATTCTCTCCTGCTATTCCTTAAAATTGTTGTCATCCAGACATCTCTGTGGCACTAATGCTAGCTCAATCTTACAGTTAATGTGAAAGACGTGTAAAACTTGCTCTAGCTTGATCAACACAAACAACTCTAGTTGAAACTGTTGACTAATGCAGAACTACAGTCTTCCAAATAGAGAGAAATCAGCCAAAAAAAAAAATAACATTAGAAAAAAAGTATTGTCTATCTTTTCTGTACTGCTAATATCACAGACTTCTGAATGTAACACCTTCTTCAGTCCCCTTTCCAGTGATAACCCTGCTGGCACAGACCCAGCAGTGGCTGCCAAATCCCAGGGCAGTGTGTTGTCAACATTAAGTGTACAGCCCTTCTGGGGTATGAAGAAATGCAATTCCCACCACCACCACAAAAAAAGAAAAAAAAAAAAAAAAAAAGACAAAACGATTGCATTCTTTGCAAAAATACCAGAAATTCTTTTTGCTTTATTTATGGGTTAATATTGTCTTTCTCAAAATGCTGTTTCTCAGCCGTTCAGTGTAGAAGAGAAAGGAAAACTCTGGAAAAAGTATGCAGAGACTTTTCACTTCTCCAGTGCAAATGGGCTGATGCAAATGTTTCTGATCTGAATAACCTTGAATAACAAGGATGATGCATGCAGTCTCTGAGCCACGTTCAAAGCATTTCTGCTGTGAACTGAACTGTCACCTAAGATGGCTTTGGGATGCTCAAAACATGAAAATCCCACATTTCCCTTTTCGCTAAGAAAAGGGTTCATATAGCAAAAAAATGATATCATAGCACAAGGAAGAAGAAAAGAACAAGGAACTTTTGTTTCCATGGCAATGTGAGCTCCTTCAGACAGAAGCACAAAGGCAATATGCTGAATGATTATCCGAAGGTCATGTTGTTCTTACCAGAAAAGTTAAAGAGAATACACTAGGCTGATTTCCCCAGGCAGGGCACATGCTGCATTGCTAAGCAGTTCAAATAAGCAATTTCTGAAAGAAATAATTGCCTTCATTAATGCCATGTGTTTATTTTAAAGTCTATTTTCATAAAGAAAACAGCAGCTTGCTCAGAAGAGAGGGGGACTGCTCTTCACTCGTATTTTGTACCATTATTTGATGCTCTTAGAAGACAGAAGTTCAGTTCCTGCACGTTTCTGATAGCCACCACCCAGTAAAATAATGATATTCTGCTTCACATCAGACGCCTCTTAACGATGAAAAAATGTCTCCATATAAGAACTGGTTTATGTATCCAGCCAGCTCCACTGCTGCTGCCTGGATGCTGCAGGATACTTGCAGCCTAGATGGATACAATGGATGACCTGTTATCCCTCTCTGTAACCTACATAAGGAACGGGCACTCAGGAAACCTATAAACACTAAATGCAGTTTACTTTGTTCTTCCCAATGTCAGCTTTCTGTTTCCTCTAAGATGCTTTGACCTTGCTGACAACAGGAGTAAATACTTTATGTGGAAAAAAAAACCACCAGACTGCTTAAAAACTAATTCTATTCTCTTCCTCCACTCTGTTCTCCATGATTTACTACAGACCTGAGAAGGACAGAAACTTTCTGGTGTTCAGAGGAAAAGTTATTTTTAGTCTTGTTTTGTTGCCAAGGTGTATAGAAACCTTATGTGCTACTTGAGGAAGTTACCAGGGAATGGGAATGGAAGGGAGATGCTTGGTTCTTCGCCTTTGTTTCCAACCACAAAGCTTTTCTTCAATTAGAAAAAAATGATGTGTGTTCAATGAGAGGTTGCAGGAGTCACTGTCCAGTTTGAAGAATTAATGAAGGAATGTGTGAATATATATTATGTGGCATAAATATAGAGACCTTGGACTAGGGCAGCACTTAGGCACACAACCCTACCTGTCCTTCAGCAAAAATTCATTCCTGAATCAGAGCTCCTTGAAAATGTGGTTGTTGAAGCCAGGCAGGGGGAAGCAAGGCTGAAGCCCACTTCTCCCAGGTCCATTATTAAAGCCATAGAATTTCAAACTGGTATAAATGAAACAAAAGTTGGGAAAAAACATCTCAAGGGATAGGAAATATGAAAAAGTGCAGTTTGTTGGGGCAGGGGAAGCTGGAAAGGTTCCTTTCCCAGCAGTGTTGGTGGAGCTGGCTCACAGTACATGGCTTGGATGAGAAGCCATAATGCTGTAAATAAATACTTTTTGAGAACAGAGGGGGAAACCCCTGCTTGTTCGCTGATAACAGTATGTTTTGTTTCACTTCAGAAGAACAAAGATTTAAAGTAAACTGTAGAATAACTTAAACATTGTCGTGGCGTTGTTCCAGGAGGGAGGATATGGCCAGCTGCAGTCATTCTGCAAACATATTAGCTTGCTTTATCTCCTTCCATATCAACTCAAGTTTTTAAAAGCTATTGTGATAATTCACAGGCAAAAGTAGGGAGCAGCCCTTCTTAAGCTGGAAATATTTCTCCGTTCAACTAATGAGGCTTCAGTGAACTTAATACTCCCATGCTGCTCTAAGAAGAAAAAAACATCTCTTCTCTTGTGAGTTGTGTATTGCAAGGGTGTTGATTGATGTTGAAAAAAAAAAGAAAAAAGAAAAAAGAAAAAAGAAAAAAAGAAAAGGGTGAAAACTACTTTTCCTTCAGAATAACCAAATTCTGCCCAGAGGCAGTCTTTGGCATTGCAGCTTGGGTGCCCTAAAAGCAGAGGCAGACCCACAGGTACCCACAGCAGCAACAGCTATTCGTGGGACTATTCTTTGTATACTAACCAAGTTATAGGAAATATAAATCAGCAGGAAGGACTGAAGTTTGACAAAAGAAGTGTAGGCAAAGTAGGTACAGACATGAGTAGATACACCAGACAAGGTCAGCACTCAGAAATCAGTTATTGGGTATATGGATAGTGAGGTATTGTGCTGGGGAACATTTGAGTGGAAATTTGTGTCACTTCAATGTCAGTTTTTACATGAATCAAACAAGTAAAGTCCTGGCATTGACTGGGGAAGATTTTGCTGTACTACAATTAGCTATAGTAATGCATCTATGTATATACAGGTAGTATACACCCATTAAAGAGGTCCAAGTCAGATGTGAAATATTGCTATAATATAACAGGTAAGAAATAACATATTATGTGGTATTATATAATATAAATAGATAAAATGCATAAAATGATAAGTTGGCTCTATAGAAAGGTGTCGTATCATAGAACAGTGGATGTGCATGAAAGAAAATACATGATCTTTGCAGGCATACATTATTGAAATGTATATGTGTAAAGGTGCCAAAAGCAAATAATTTAAAATTGCCCCAAATCATATTCCTCAATCTTTAATTAATATACACATGACTCTGTCTTGCATGAAAATACTTCCTGTTTTGCATGGAAATATAAATAGTCTTCAGTTTCTATGGAACATTTTTTACCACTGCAATGAGTTAAATAATACTTTGCAGCCAAAGCTCCTTTAGTTACCAAAAAAGTAGGTCATTAATGATGACATGGAAAAGCCAAGTTTTCTGCAACTTCTGTAAAGATGTGGAAATCCATACTACTCACTGAAGTTTGGCTGTGCTACAAACAGTAGCAAAACTGTGCAAATTTTCTGCAGCCCGTGCTCTGCCCTCACAAACTGGGACCGAGGGCTGCATACACAAACTGTGATTGAAAAGGCAGAATAGAGAGTGCAGTAACAGATGTAATGCTTTCTCCTGCATGACTGGGCAACGGGAAGAAATACAATACACATGATGAAAATATAAGCTGGTATTTTCAACACAGGAGAGAGGATGCATATTCCACGTGAGCCAACTGCTGCACATTTCCTTCAGCACTGACTGGTATTTTGGAGGTATGAAGAAGATGAAAGATAAGATTTAATTCCCAGACAAATTGATTCCATTAACAACACTGGGTTGCATGTGTGCAGCTGCCAGCACAGTACATCCTAATCTGCTTGGAAGATGTTTCAGGGAGAACAGAAGTTGGGATCTTGCCAAGAAGAGCAAGAAAAAGGGCTACTGATGAAATATGTCCTTCCTGGCGTGTCTCCCTGCACCCCAGGAGATGCCCATAGCTGGGCACATGCTACGTGTGTATTTATATTGTTTGGAGCAACCAGGGAAGCTCCTATCTGTTCTAGAGATGGATGCTAAAAGAAAACACATTGCAAAAAGGTATATCCATCACACATGGGATGAGGGTGATGGGACACAGTTCCATTATATGTCAGCATTTGCCCAGGGCTCAGAGTGCCCACCCCATCCTGCATAGCATCTCCCAGGGATGGAAAAACTCTTTTGCTGGGAGGTGAAGGCTTGCTGCCAACTTCACTGTTCTTTGAATAAATGCTCCCTTGGATCAGCTGCACGCGGGACGACTAAAGGAACTGCAAGGGGTTTTCTCCGGAGCTGTGAAGAAAGAAAACAACAACAGCAAAGGGAAGCAGTGAGTGTGCCGTGCTGGAGGTCACACCTGCCAAGACAGCATCCTGTCCTGCCTTCTCCAGCGTGTCCATCCATCCGCCTGTCTGGCTGCCGAGCGCAGTGATCACATGCATCCCGCCTGCCCCCTCCCTCCCTCCCAGCCCTGTCCCGCTGCGCTGCACGGCTCCTGCAAACTCGCCCCAAGCAGAGGAACTTTCTGCAGACAGGCTTCTTCATCCCCCCTCTGCTTCCCCTCCTGCCAAATAAAGTCTGGGGGCTTTGCTTCAACTCTAAAAACTGATGATTGCCCTTAGGAAGAGAAGCTCATGCTCCTCTCAGCTGTTCCCCGCTCTCTGTGCCCTCGGGCTGGCCGTGCTGGGGGGTCTGTCCTGGGCTGTCCCCATGGACGAACAGGATTATTATCTGCAAGAGATTAGCAACAGGGATCACTATTACTCCTTTCCATACCCTGGTGAAGAGTATTTTTCTTTCACGGAGCAACCCGGAGAGGAAGGAACTATCCGTGCTTCAGAGCCAGAGGAACACCCAGGGTTCAAACCGAGCAGGAAAGAGTTAAAACCGAAGAAAAGCAGCAAAAAAGGAAAAGCCATTCTTGAACCTCCACCAGGTAACTTTTCACCTCCTCCTCCAGAGCTCGGAGGCTCTGAATCTCACACTGACTGTGACTCTTAACATTAATGAATATCCCGCTAATGGCAGTCTTGGTACTAATAACAATAATATGCTTGTGGTGGTGATGCTGGCAATGCACTATGTTTAATATCCTGCTGAACAGCTCTACAGAACTTTTACAGGCTTTTTAATCCCTTCCTTGTCAAGGGAAGACTTTTCGCATTGCTAACATTAATTATTTTGCACTCTAGATAGGATGGTTTTCCTTCTTAATTGCACTTGACAGCTGGATTGTTGTGAGTGCTGCAGTTCTATGAGTAAATGAGGAGGGACAGATTCTGCAGCGTGGACTGTCAGTAAATGCTGACACCTCGCTCTGTCCCCGGTTTCTTGAATATAAGAGAAGTTCCTGAGCTGATTTTGTTTACAGTTTTGACTTTCTTCGAGCTTTTGCTTTAAAGCCCTCCAGAGGAAGATATGTAGACATAGATTTTGTCTGAAATAGACCGAGTCACGGAAGCTCAATGTTGTTATCAGCCTGTAAAGCAGAGAAATTAAGCGACAACTAAAATTCCTTATTAAAAACAGACCACCTGCAATTTCCTTTGCGTTTTCTGCATGTGATTGGCTGAAAATATGCAAACATTATTAAAATGTATAGGAGCTGGATCAGCTGTTACCAGCCAGTCATTCCCATTAACAGCTAGCTGCACCACCAAATCTCACTTGCTAAGAACTGAGCTCCCCTTTACTTCAGGAAGAAACTTTTCATGGCAACAGCCAGAGCACAGGGCATAAAGTTGGTAGCTCAGAGGCACTGCTGCATGCAGAGCAGCAAAACAGAGAGGCAAGAATTGCATAGGGATGTTAGCTTTTCCTTGTTGTATCCAGCCAATAGAATATACAGAATTTTCAATTGAAGGTTAACGTGGATAGAAATCAATTATTTTTTGATTCACAAAGACTTTACAATAATAAATAGTGATAAGGAAATATTATTTGTGAAATCTCAAAGCTGTTTGTGGGGCAGCCAGAGATCACAGATGAGAGCAGGACAAGCGCCTTTACGGGGGAATGGAGACATGAGGCATCTATGCCGTTGGCTCCATCATAGCCTAGCTGCTTTTTGGTCTCAAATACTGCTTATTTTCTATCTAATCTGGGGAACAGTGGATTTTTAAGCCCTTAGGTATCAGGATTGCTCTTCCTCAGTATTCTGCAGTTTAGCTCTGATTTTGCCTTTCCTGTTGGCTTTTTCCCAATTTCCCTGGCACTTTAACTACTCCAGAAAACACAGTGGCAGCAATGAGGATGGCTTGTAATCTCTGAGGGCAGTTTTCATTCATCAGCACAAACAGGCATCCACCTTGCTGAGCACCTTGCAGGCGCAGAGAAGCAGCAGCTGTACCAATATCACCCTCCTTCATTATGCATCACTCTTCCTTTCCCAACCTGATTTGTTTAATGCACTGTAGATAAAGCAGCACAAAATTCCAAGTCTATCCACTGGGAGAGCAAACTGAGGTCTTACAGGCATTCTGAATATGGTCACTTCCTAACAAGATGGAATCATATTCCTTTTATACACAGGAAATGATGGAATAAGAAAATTTAAACAAACCTTCCATAAACCCTCAGCGAATACACCCTGTTGTGCACTGACCACTGGATTCATGCTGGATTAATCTCTTATTATCCGCTTTTTGCTTTCCACCCTACCTGACTCTGAGTTCAGGGAGATGTTATTTCCATGTTCAGCCCAATGTGCTGAACTCAGCCTCCTCCTCTATCTCAGCATAGACGGGCACAAGGCCAAGTATGGAAGAAACTCATGATGTGCCACCAAATTGCTGGGATCAGCTTAGTTGCTGCTGCTGCCACAGCAGCCGTGTGCTCTTTTTCACACAGCTCCCACCTACAGGAAGATGTTTTAGAGCCTGTGAGCTTTTGCATAGGTACCACATACAACAGATCCCCTCCACCAAACTTTTGCTCCAGCACACGGAGCCTTGACACCAACTCAACAAGTTGGTTGTTAGACCTGCTACAGTATAGTCAAATGCAATGCATTTCCTCAGGAGCAGCTGAGCTATTTTAACTGAAATAGCCCTAATAAAACCTATTCAGACACTCAGCAAAGAGTACGGTTACCGTTTGTTGAAGAAGCAAGTAACTGAAGACAAGAGTCATATTCAAAAGGAAGTTTCAGGCAACTTTATCTGAAGAGAGTAATAAAAATTCTGGCTGCAGTATCAGAATTCTTTCCTTTTCCCTCTCCCAAAGACAAGCAAGGACACCACACAGCAGATTGGCATGGGCAAAGAGTAGATGTACAGGTCCAGGCAATGCAGGGACACCAAAGCCCCATGCCATGTCATTGGGTATCTGTTGGAAGTGAATACGTGTACATCTGGAACCATGCAGAAGGGACTAAATAAGAAAACCTGCCTGTAATTTCTCACATTCAGCCCTTGAGAAAGACAAATAGAAATATTTATGGTGATAACCAAACAGCCATGAACAGCAGCTACAAGTCTGGCTGTGTAAATATGTGTACATGTTGTATATATGCGTATACATCCATATGTTTATACGTGTATCCAGAACTGGAATTAATTTATTGGACATGCAATAAACACAAAAAATCTGCTTTTTGTGAGGCTCACTGGGAGCTGGGGCATGTGGAATTAATTATTTGTAACAAACAATAGGCTGGCTTGGAGCTGGGATGAAGGAGGCGGAGGGCTGGGGACGTGTGATCTGCCCTTTGGCTGAGCAGCTGGTACTGATCAGCCCAGGCTTGGAATCAAAGCTGAAATCAAACATAGCAGGCTGAAGGATGCAGCTCATAGCAGATAACACAGGCTCAGTTTATTTCAGCTAATTATTAAGAGTGTGAGACTGCAAACATTTCAATCTGTGAAATGTTATGGTGGGAAGAATTCTATGGATGTCAGTGGGGTTGCAATGTCTGTGTTTTGTTTTTGTTTTTAAAATATAGTTAAGAACCAATATTTTCAAAATACATGATTCAGATAAAGTAACATCAGCCTGCTTTCTTGCCCTGTAGATGACTTGTAAATGAAATGGTACTAGGTCATCCCTGGAAGGTAAGCAGTTGGATTGACAGGCTTCTGTATATACATATTTCAGTTTTCTAATTCCACCTTTGCTTTTTTAGGCCTCGATCCAAAGCCCATTCAAATCAGTGGAAAGAGTCTCATTAACATTAGTGTTTTTCTTTTATGAGTTTTTCAATAGAATTTAATAAATGCCATCTCAGCCACCACCTGGGTGGTAAATCCCCACCAACTCTGCCTGCCCATGGGCCAAAATTTAACCTCAGAGAGGTTTATGGGGCTGAGGTGCCCGTGAACACGGCTTATAAATGCTTAAATGCTGCATATTGCTCTCGATCAGTTCCCACTCTCGCTCCTATTGTGCTTGAATTTGCCACAGTTATCTCTGTAATTATATATTCCTTTATACTTTTGTTGCTTTTCAGCATAGCTATGAAATGATTTTAGAAAGACAATGCTGAAGACATCCTATCCCATGTATCTGTTCAAGTCTAAGATTATACCATGCTTTCCAAAATACCATCTACAGAGCTTTCTTTGAGACCATCTATCAGGCTCACAGGGAGTGGAGAACATGGGGATGTACCAAACACTGGCAAAAATTCTTCCTAGGAAACAAATTTGACTTAGACAATTATACTTGTGCTGGTGATTCGTCTTCTGTCTGTAGCACAATTCTGATTGCTACTGGAAAATAAAGGAGTGGTTTTCATTTGTATGGCAGAGCTCAGAATGGTTTTTAGTGAACTTTTTCACATTCCACAGGTCTTCTATTGCCTGATTTCTGGGCAATCCAAAATACGTCGCAATTTCCTTCCTTGTCTGTTTCTTTCGCCAAGTTTGTTGAAACTGTTCAGATACATCACTCTTCACTTGCCTCATATTTATTTTTGTGTAATATTGGCACACACTCAACAACGTCTTTTTTGTTGTTGTTGTTGTTAGATTTGTTTCTGTATATCTTGCATGGGTCAAGATCTAGTGGAACCACGTATCAATTTTCAGCATCTGACATAAGACAGCCCATAACCCCAGCAGACAGAGCTGGGAATAAAAAGCTCTCTTTCATCATCATGAAAAGCAGGAGGATGAGCCTGGGGAAATCTGCTTTCTGTCAGGCTTTATGAGGCACGTGGACAAAAGGAAGTTTTAATCCAGTCTGAAAGGAGGTCAAGGAGACATGCTTCCTCCCAAGCAAAAAGCTGCACAAAGGCAGGTTTTGACCAGATAGGTGCTGAAAGCTGCTGCCTTCATTGGCATGTCCTATCAGAGGCAGTAAGTTAAGAATGCTGGGGGGAAATTGCTGCTCAGCTGGTGTCTGTGGAGGCATTAGAGACGAAAGGCAAAAAGAAGATAGCATGGCCAATGTCATGAGATACTGTATGAGATATGTCATGAGATATTGAAATGCAAAGTCACAGCCTGAAGCAGTGATTGAGCACCTGGTGGAAGGCAGGGCCAACCCAGGACAGCTCAGGTGCATGAAATGCAGATGAGTGACCAGAAGGGCAGAAGCCAGGAACCACCCCTTTCCAGACCTCATTCAAGGGTTGGCAGTGGAGGTGAGGGAATCTTGCTGGAGCTCCCTGCATACTGGAGGCCTTCTGAAGGTAGTGGATTTTTTTTCCTTTATTTTTGTGCCTACGGCTTTTATATTTGAACAAATTCTTGCTTGCTGTAGGCTGGGACCTTGCTGCTCTGCTGTCATTGCTGAGCTTTCCATTCTGTTTCTGGTATGAGGTGAGAAATGCTTAAGGAGAGTTCAGCGAGTGAATGAAAAGCTGAAACGAGGATGTCAACTGTGGAGAACTGGAAAGGTATTAGAATCACAGAATAATTAAAGTTGGAGAAAATCTCTAGGATCACCAAGTCTAACCCTACCATGCCCAGAGACCGGTTCCCACAGTGCTATAAC